CTTACCAAATATGCAGTGAACCACATGGTTTCATTAGAGCTGGTCAACAATTGTGACTCAAATCTTATATTGTTGGCGTTAATGCCTTTGCTTTTACCATCTAATAATAGCCAAATAGCTAAGGATAATATTGTCACAATACTAGGGAGCCCACTAGCCAATAAGTTGGTTTTTCTAAGGGAGCTAGACGTAGATAATATTATTACAACCGATTTTGATGCAGCTTCTTTCAAAATACATTTCTTGGGCGTGATTGCCAGTCATATGAAAACACCAACTGTGACTGAATTATTTACTAGTGTGGATGCACATCAAAAAGGCTTCTTTCGTTCCGCAATGGACGTTTCGCACATAATGTTGCTTGTTATTGCATGCCTCAATCAAAGATTGGACAGTAATGAGTCGTTGAAAATTTTTAAACAAATTCGCAACTATACAAAAGACTTTGAAATCAAGCATATACCATGTGAGAATTGGCAAAAGTTTCGCAAACGTCCATATATTCCACTGCGTTTATATATCGATTTCGTATCAAAAGTTGTAGAGCATACAAATCTCTCTGATGATATTTATAACTGGCAATTGCCAAACAAAGATTTGGAATATTTGCTGTACATCGTTAATTTTATATCTGAAGAAGTGTTTCGAAAGGAAGGAGGATCATTTAGACATGAGTGGTTGAAAACAATTCAACAAATTTTCGGTGTGGTTTTTCCGAGGCCATATACAGTTATTGACTTCTTTGCTAACTTCTATGTTTATAGAGACTTGAATTGTGAGATAAATTATACACTTTTGCGTTTGAGAGCCTGCATTTTATTTTCTGCATTGTGTCGGAAGTTAAATACCACGCTCAAATTTAATTTGGTGCAAATTCTTAAAATTACAATGGGTTTGCATGCTTCTTCACAACTAATACGCTTCCAAGCCATATCTGTCCTTTCACAAATTAAAAAGCATGCAATATTGGATTCTAACTTGCTGTATCTTGTGGATACGTTTTTGTCACGCGAAAGAGAGATCTTCACATGTCATGAACAGGCTCCACTTTTATGGTACACACTGCTTAAACCAACAAAAGAAGAAGCAGATGAAAGACTTGGAATTCAACTTTTTAAGGATATTTTAAAATTGTTCACAATGCGTTTTTATTTAGAGCACTCCGCATTCATTTCAGAATTGCTTAGCGCATTCAAGCATATTGACGATATGGATGTATTACAAGTTTTAATGCCATTGGCATTCGATGCCTTGGACCATACAACTGACGACGGTACATTGAAGGTTTTAGCCGCACCTTTCAAAAATGTTTATAATCTTATTATGCAGCGATTTGAATTAGCCGATTCTGCAGAGATACTAATGAAATCTCCTGGTGCTTGGGAACTGTTTAAGAAATCGTGTCAAATGCACAATGTTTATCTGGTCTATGACGATAGAATGCAACCCGTGCCCTGTTTACTTCTGAATGTATTAGATGGTGTATTTTACGGAAAATTAAACAAGAACTCGCAGTTGAAGTTGTTTAAATTGATTTTACGAACACTGTACACCTCAGATAATGATACAATTTTTCAAGCTGCAAACAAAATGTTTAACAAATGCATTTTTGAAGGTAACATGCTGCGGGTTATATTACAGCAAATGCTGGGTGATTTGTTTAAAACGGGGAAGACGCCGTTGAAGCAGAAGCCATCGGCAATTGCAAATGCAGCTAAACTTGAATCAGAAAAATTGCAAATGCAAATAACTACACAAGAGTGGAAGGAAGGAGTTATAGTTCTTCAACTGTTGGAACAGAGAAAAATAATATTGCATACTGAACAGTTAATATCAGTGCTATTTGATTTGCTAAAAGTTTGTTTAGAGGTAGAAGAACAAAATACTGTGGAATATGCAAAACAATTAATATTAGCTATATTATTGCAATGCTGTGAAGTTTGCAAGGAGGATGGTATTGCAATACAGGAAATACTACCAGAAAATACATTCCGTATCGATCATATAGTTGATTATGTACGTTCAACACAAAATCCACAAACACACCATAATGCATTACTCTTGCTTGCTCACTGTGCAGCTCTATATCCGCAACAAGTGCTCCATAATATCGTGCAAATATTTACATTTGTTGGTTCAACAATTGCACGACATGATGATGCTTTTAGTTTTTACATTATAAACACTGTTGTTGAAAAAATCGTGCCAATATTGTTGGAGCACGGCACATCCGCTGCAGTAAGTGTAGATGGTATCGATGGTCGTGCTATACCATTGTTGAAAGTGTTCTCAGACATAATGTTCGATGTACCAGAACATCGCCGGCTTTTGCTGTATACTAAGTTCTTAAAAACACTCGGGCATAAAGAGTATCTCTGGAGCTTTTTGTGTATTCTATTTGAAGCGCACATTACAGATACTGAAAATGAAAGGAAAAAAGGCAAACAGTCCGATGTGGCTTCTATATTCCTAACAGTTAAAACAACTCGTTTTCTCTTTGCTATAGACCTGGTCAAGTCACTTGAAACAAGCATTATTTTAGAGACATGCTTACAATTGCTTACGTACGTTACAAATTTACCATTGAGTGAGCAAAATGCAGTTACTTCAGATGAAAGTATGGACACCGGAGAAGTCTCGCTTTACGATGTGAAATGTCACACAAAGAGACAATTCCGTCATTATAAATATCTGATTATAGAGTTTTTGCATAATATAACATGCGAACATTCAGTAATGTTAAAAATAGCTAGGCTAACAGATGAGGAACAGCTAGATATGAAAACTCTATATCAAAGTTTAGTAGTGAAAATATTAACTTATATACCCAAAGTCAAATCGACTATTGCAGAACAAACAGAGGGGCATGAATTAAAATTAAATAAAGCTATATTGAATTATCTTCACGATCTGCTCGAGAACGTCATATTAATGCTATCTCCAAATCTTTTCCTAATGGTAATTAATGGCTTAGTGTTGCATAATATCTATAGTATACGTCGTAAAGTAATGGAATTGCTAATAAATAAGTTGCTGACCAAGGATACTTTCTTTAGTGGTCAGTTCAATGATGAAATTTCTAAACTTTTTGAGCCATTCAACACCATTGTCGACACAATAGGAAGGAAAACCGAGGAACCGAATGGTGATGCTGCAGCGCATCCAATAAATACTAATAACGATGCTATACACATGCAACAAACAACCCTTATATGCATTAAGGTACTATCAAAAGCTTACGGAACTGAATTTATTGAGGAGTTCAAAGGTTTACTTGCTAAAATAACGAAAGTTTTGAAATTGCGTAAAAATATGCCACGCCTTTTAACTAGTGCTGTCATTATAACTATTGCCGAAATCGCATCTAATTTGAGAGTTCATTCGTTAGCGTATTTGCCAAGATTTATGCCCTATTTAATTAATATACTGCAAGAGCAGACAGCACTGTTGGAGAGTCAACCGTTAGATAATAGCTATGCAGCACTTGTATTAAGTAAGTCAGAATGAAACTCACCAAAATTTTTTCTATATTTATTAGATGTATTTAGAGTGTATTTGAAGCATTCAAACTGTTTAGGTATTACGAAATGTTCCAGCATACAAGTGTGCGAGCAACTCAAACAGCAAATCTGCTTTATGCTTTATTTTATATTCGCTTTATTTCAGGGTTCAGAAAAACACTGTGCTTTGGACCAAAAATTCAAAGCACCACACACAAATGTGCGCCTCCAAATACAATTTTACACCACAAATGTGGTGTGCTAAAATTGTACACCACGAATGTTGTGCGCATCTAAATAAGATTTTACACCACGAATGTGGTGTGCTAAAATTTTACACCACTAATGTGCTGTGCTAAAATTTTAAGCCACAAATGTGCGTGTAAAGATTTACACCACACATATGGTGTGTTCTTTACAAAGAAAATTGCACCTCTTAAGTGCACCTTTTAAGTGCACCTTTTAAGTGTACCTTTTAAGTGCACAAATAAAATACACACTTCACACGAATGTGGTGGAGTGAAATAAAACTCGCACACGCATTCAGTGTGCTGCACTTTGCGTGTGCAGCCAGTTTGCACTGGCACACAACATGTGCCAAACACAATACGAGGAGCACATTTTGTGTGCAGACTCGAAAAGAAAAATGAACCCAAATGTGTGCAGACGAATGTCTACTGCACATTTGAATCAAATATAACTTAAAAGTGCACAATATTATGATGCATGTCGCAGCAAAATAGTGTGGACAACTGATTTGTATTATGTTTGGTCTTAAGACGAAATATTTTTTTGAAAAAGTGATTGCTCCCTAAACCCTGTTCCATTCTATTTAATTCGTGTAGCATAAATTCGAGTTATGTGGAAGTTTGTGTATTCTTTTCTCAATACAGATATTCAATATATTCAAAAAATTTCCAATGTTATGTTCAGACACACCTTAATTTTACAAAAATCTTAATTTCACAAAAATCTTAATTTCATCTTCGTTTCAATGAAATTAAATTGTTTTTTCCATACAAAATTCAGTTTTAAAGTTAGAACGAAATTAAGGAAAATAACCTTAATTTCGTTGAAACGAAGGCTGAAATTAAGGGACATTTTGAATGCGACTATGCGTAAGATAAATTTTTAGCATAAGAAAAGTTGAGATAACGAAAAAGGGATATTTTTTTAAATAAATGCCAATGACAGTTGACTATAATAAAACCGGGAAATATTTTGAAAGTAGTGCATATTTTTCAATTTGAGAATAGAGAATGAACTGTAACTGTTATTAATTTAAAATAGAGTGAAAAATAATAATTCACATACCTGAAATCCACTAAAGCTAATAAAACTACTGAATGCCATCGTTTGTAGTTATAATAATCAACTTTTAAAATTTCCCAGAGCATGTAATTTTTAACATTCGGTTTGTGAATAAAAAACATATGATTTTCTTAATTTGGGTCAGTATGAACACTTTCAAAATTAACTTAATTTCATTTTTACGAAATTAAGGAAATTTGGATGTCTGAACAAAGTATAACTGTAGTAGTAAACTTTAACTTCATTTAAACGTATTCTAATTAAAAATAAGTAGGTTTTTTTTTCATTGTACGATTGTGACTTTCACGATTAGTCAGAGAGAATTTTTTTTAATATAATTAGGATATCAATTATGCCCACTAGAATAATGAAACTTTTGAACGCCTAGTCTCAAGGTTGTGATCATAAAAACTAAGAGAATGGAAATGTTAATCTTTATTTGCTCTGACAATGTTAATCTTTATTTGCTCTGACAATGTTGAATATTTGTCAAAAAACGTTTATGCATTATAGGTTCTTACTTCTTAAAATATCTATTTTAAATCTTCTCACATGTGTGAAAAATTCACACATGTGAATCAAGAACATTATTTACTTTATTAAAACTCCACAGTAGATTCCTGGATCAAAGTAACAGTATCCTTACCCAAATTCTTAGTATCATTGCAGATTCACTTCTTAGAGCTTAGTTAAGACCGTTCAATTATTCTACAGTTGGTTTATGATTTCGTTCTAATATAAACATAGCTAATGAATTTGTTAATTAGCTTTTGCAGCAAATTAACAAAACTCCAGAAAAATGTGCGAACATAAAAAGTCAAGTACGGCTAATGAACGCTGACTGACTCTGAGCTTCAAATTGGCAGGGCACGAGTTTAATCCCTGGTGCTTGAAATCTGAAAAAATTATTTATAAATAATTAAATACAAAAATTATTTCCAAGACCATTGATGATGGGTACTTGGTAATATTTGAAACAACTGTATGTTCAGCCAAAAACTCAATTAATTAAAATATATATAAAGAATTTTTGTTGTTGTAGGTTTGCTACTTTTCGAAACCTCTTTACTTTATCTATATACATAAAAGAAAGTCGTGTTAGTTAGACCACTCATAACTCAAGAACGGCTGAACCGATTTTAATTATCTTTGATTTGTTGGAATCGTCTCCGCTCCGAATAGCAGAATACATTATAAAATATTGGAAAAATCCACTAATTTTAGCAAAAATAATAAATTTGTAAATGCTGTTTCAAACTGTTGACAGTTCGAAAGTTTGAGTGATATTGATTTCTTTTTAAATTTTTTTTTTCAAATATTTCAAATATTTGAAATTTCAAATATAATAAATTCAAAAATAATAAATAAATATTGTTATCAATATACCATCGAATCCACGTGACCTGTGGAACAAATATAAGGATAACATGTCAGAAGACATTTTACATAGAATTCCTGTCAGTTCAAGAAATCCCGATCTTGAGGTGAATGATGAAATGCATCATCAGGCTTTGCTCTTGATCGAAGACATATGTTACCATACCTGCGGTAGTTTGTTGGTCAGATTAGGAATGCCAGCTTCTGATCGTGGAATAAATAACGCATTTAATCGAGAATTGGAACGTGAACGTGAATATGATCGACATGAATTAGACCAATCAGTTCAAACTAATGTACCTCTATTGAATCCGCAACAGAAGGAAGTTTAACATTAATGAAAGCGATTGATGAAGAAAATGGTGGCTTTTTTTTCCTGGACGCCCACAGTGGGACTGGTAAAACATTCCTCACGTCATTAATTTTGGCCACTGTTCGTGCGATATTCCGACATTGCGGTAGCAGTTGCTTCTTCTGGAATAGCGGCTACATTGTTAGAAGGATGCCGTACGGCTCATTCAGCGTTAAAATTGCCGTTAAACCTTCAAACTACCGAGCAACCGATATGTAATATTGTGAAGCATTCTGCAATGGCTAAAGTTTTAGTAGCATCTAAAATCATCATCTGGGACGAATGCACAATGGCGCACAAACGCGCATTAGAAGCACTTGACAGAACATTGAAAGATCTTCGCAATGACTCGAGATGTTTTGGAGGCGCAATGATTTTACTGTCTGGCGATTTTCGCCAAACACTCCCAGTCATTCCAAAATCGATTGCTGCCGACGAAATAAATGCTTGCCTTAAATCATCAAATCTTTGGCGCTATGTGAAGAAACTTCAGCTGGTAACAAACATGAGAGTTGCATTGGTAAACGATACAACTGCTGAAGAGTTCTCCAAGCAATTGCTGTTAATCGGTAATGGCCGTGTAGCTGTTAAAGAATCGAGCGGATTAATTGCATTTCCTTCAAATTTTTGCAATTTCGTCTCATCAAAAGACGAACTCATCAATGAGGTATTTTCGAACATCATTGATAATCATAAAAACAAAAAATGGTTGAGCGAGCGAGCAATTTTGGCAGCTAAGAACAAAGATGTGAATGACTTAAACTTTGTAATTCAAAATGAAATCGTTGGTACTCTGCATACATTCAAATCTATTGACTGTGTAACAAACGAAGAAGAAGCTACCAACTATCCAACTGAATTTTTGAACTCCTTGGATGTGCCTGGCTTACCACCGCACAATTTACAATTAAAGATTGGTTCGGTAGTCATTATGCTTCGAAATCTAAACCAACCAAAACTATGCAATGGAACGCGATTAGTGATAACAAAACTGATGGCCAATGTGATTCACGCAATGATACTCAAAGGAAAATTCAAAAGTGATGAAGTTCTCATTCCGAGGATTCCAATGATCTCAATCGATATGCCCTTTGAGTTTAAACGAATTCAATTTCCTATTCGGCTTGCATTCGCTAAGACTATAAATAAATCACAAGGCTAATCCTTTAGTGTTTGTGGTCTGAATCTAGAAAATGCATGTTTTTCACATGGTCAATTGTACGTGGCATGTTCACGTGTAGGCAAACCATCTGCTTTATTTGTTCTTGCGCCTGATAAAAAAACAAAAAATATCGTATATCACAAGGTTCTTTATTGAAGAGAATCAATCGGAGTGCAACCTATAGGTTCTTGCTGACAGACTATTAAAATAATTAATTATATATCAATATCCTAATAAACTATTGAATACAATAAATTTTTTGTATTCATTTTATTACTTTAATAAATTTCTAAATTTAGTTTATCTATAATTTAATATAACATTTATTGACTGTTACGCGGTACGAAGTTCGCGGGGTCACCTAGTTAGGAATATTAATTAAAATTTAATATTTTAAATTAAATCAAAATATTTTTAAATATCATCTTATTCATACATGTATATGTTTTTAGGTTTCTTGAAGCTAATGGAGGCTATACCATTGTTCTTAAGCCCATATATGGTCGATATCATAACATCAATGAGTTTAATATCAGTTAAAGCAGCTCAGCAACCCGAAAATGACCATTCCGCTGGTATACTACAAAAAATTTCAGCAATTTGGAAAGCAATTGC